CACCACCCCAGGGCCAGCAGTGACCCCCAGGCTGACCCTCACCACCCCAAGGCCAGCAGTGACCCCCCTGGGCTGATCCTGTGCCCCCCATCTCTGGAGCGGGGGCTGGCGGGGTGTGCAGGCCCCACGGGCCTCGGGTGGGCGGGGGAGGCCTGGTCTGTGTCCTCCAGGGGTGCTCTGGGAGGGGGATGCCTGCTCCCTGGGACACAGGTCCCCAGACAGCGAGGGAGGGCGCTCTGCGTCCCTTTCTTCTGAACCTCGGCGCATCCTGGGTCTCCTTTGTCAGAAACAAATTGAAAACAAATCCAGAAAACCTGAGTGCCGCCTGACTCTCTCAGCCCAGCTCTGCCCCTCCCCGGCCCGGCTGGGCCCTCTGCCTTCCGTAGCCGTCCAGCATCCAGTGGCCGCAGCCCCTTCCTCCGGGCGGGAATCAGCCTGGTAGGTCTGGCGGGTCAGGAGCTCCCCGCACCTGGCTCACCCAGTGAGCGCATCTCATCTTGCTTCGGGGAAGTCCTGTCACCGGGGAGTCTGGGGAGACTCGACTTTCCTGGCTAGCCTAGGAGTCCCTGGACACAGAGGCAGAGGGCCGGAGCAAACTCCGCCAGCCATCTGCAGCCCTGGCGTAAGGAAAGATGGCATGCAGAAATGCAGGCTCTAGACAGAACACAACACAGACGTGCTGGCCAGTGCCCCCTGAGGAAACCGAGTCAGGCGGATCTGTAGCGTGCCTCGGGCCCTGCCGTGGCCAGCCTCCCGTGCCTGAAGGCCCCGGCCCAGTCTCTGGACTGCTGGCCTCCAAGCCCACATTCATTATTCATTTTTGGTTTGTTAGCGCTGGGAATGGAACTCCGGGCCGTGTGCTCGCTAGTCAGGTGGTCTGCCACTTGGGCAGCCTTTTGGTACTGGTTATTTTCGAGGGAGGGTCTCACTTTGTGCCGGGGCTGCATTCCCACTGTGTTGCTGTGTTGCTGGGGGTGAGAGGCGTGCGGTGACATATGCAGCCATGGTTGAGATGGAGTCTCTCACACTTCCTGATGCTCGGGCTGGCTTTGAACCTTCATCCCCAATCTCTGCCTCACAGGTGTCTATGTTACGGTGTGAGCCGCCGAGCCCTGCTCCAGGGCCATGTTGACTAGGTCCTGTGTTATCGATGAGGTCTCCCGCTGGGAGTTCACATCAGCCAGGACTGAGGGGCTGGCCACTGGGAGTCCTGATCGGGGAGGGACATGAGGAGGACAAGCCCTCAGGGCTAGAAGGAGGCCCAGGGGGCCTGGGGTCGGTGGCTGAGCTGGGCCTGGGCAGAGGGACTTGTGTTGAGGTAGGGGGCTGTATTTTCTGTTAGGAGGACTGGGTTTCGGGGGCATCTCTGGAAAAGTGGAGACCAGAGGAGTTGTGGGGCTCAGATCAGAGCATCCTGAAGAACAAGTGTCTGGAACATTCTGCGGCCATTGGCGCCCCCTCTTGGGCATGTTGGGTATTGCCCCAGGAAGCGGTCCCTGTCCAGTTGATCTCAGCCAGGCTGCCCAGAACAGGACCTGCCTCTTTCTGGTGAGCTAGGGCTGGTGTCTGACTCCAGACCCCCCTCAGAGGCCAGGGGAGGGAGGGCATCTGGCCCCAGGAGCAGATGTAGCCAGGTCCCCACAGGCACTGCCCGGGGCTGAGGCGGGAGCCGGGCCCTGTCCTCCGGGACTGAGGGAAGGCCTCTGTGCCCGTGGACGGGGTGATGGGGACCTGGGGCTGGGGTGGTGGGTGCAGGATTGAGACCTCTCCACCTGGGCTGTAGGTTCCAAGGCCACAGTCCCAGCTGCTCCACCCCAGCAGGGCCAGACGGCCCAGGTGGACAGCCCTGCGCTCCAGGGAAGACCGGGATGGAAGGACAGTGGGACACACAGGAAGGATGGAGCACCAAGGGCCGCAGGACCCCTCCCTGCCCAGGCCCCAAGGACAGGGCCACGGAGGCCTGGGACTGGCTCCTGGGACCCCCCTCGCCCCTCCACACACACCATGGGACATGTCCCCCGGGCAGCCACTTGGACCACAGCTGGGGTGGGGATGGAACGCTGGGGCCCCGCCTGGCCCTTTAAGATGACAGTTCTGTCCCTAAATGTCCCTTGTTGTCGCCCAGCAACCAGAGGCCCTTAGTGTGTACACTGTCACTGGGGCGACCAGGAGGCCCTCAGCCCCTGGACAGTGGCTGGCACTTCCCCCGCTGACCGAGCCTGGCTGACTGCCCGGAGACTTTCCCCCTTGGTCCCCACCCCTGCCCCACCAGGCGGCTGGCACCATGGCCCAGACAGATGTGCTCCTGACGAAGCAGCCAGCCCCGCAGACCATCAGCCCGTGTGAGCTGCCGCCCAAGCTCTACCATGTGGCCTGCAACACGGGCGAGCACTCATCCTCGGGCCTGGCCACCGCCGGCTTCCGCACGGCCAAGTACCTGATGGACGAGTGGTACCAGAACTCCTATGCCCGCTACCACCAGGCCTTCTTGGACCGTGAGCACTCGGAGCGGCAGCGGCAGGAGAGCCAGCAGCTGGCCGTGGAGACCAGCACGCTGGCCCAGCGCACGCAGCAGGACTCCACCATCAAGGTGGGCGAGCGCCTGGAGGAGATGCACTGCTGGAAGTCCAACCTGCAGCAGGAGGTGGAGGACCTGACCTCCGAGACCAACCTGCTCCTGGCCCAGAAGCTGCGGCTGGAGCGCGCCCTGGACGCCACCGCCCTGCCCTTCTCCATCGCCATGGACAACCTGCAGTGCCGCGATCGCCGCCAGCACCCGGACCTGGTGCGCGACTACGTGGAGGAGGAGCTGCTCAAGGTGCCTCCCCTCCCCCGGCGCCGGGGAGGGCCGTCCCGGGGCGCAGGGAGCGAGGCGGGGGCCTGGGCGGCTCTGCAGGGCCGCAGGGGCTCCGAGGCCTGGCGCCTGGGCGTCCCAGTGTGGCTGCAGACAGACCCACGGACAGAGGCCGGAAGAGAGCTCATACGTAGAAAACGCAGCTGTCTGGCCGTAGAAAGGAGCCTGGGGGGGGTGTCAGTGGCCAGGTCGGGCCCCAACCTCAGGTCCTCCTGGTGTGTGCCTGCTGACTGTGGCCCCCGGAGCCCGCTGGGAGGAGGGGCTGGGGCTCTGCTGTTCAAGCCACCTCCTCATTCCACACCTCCCCCCCCCCTCCCAGGAAGCAGAGCTCATCCGGCACATTCAGGAGCTCCTGAAGAGGACCATCCAGCAAGCGGTGACCCAGATACGGTGGGTCACCGGGACCCCAGGCAGCCTGAGGGGCAACCCGGGCACCCCTTGGCGCCGCCCCGGGGCAGGGGGCCTGGGGTCTGGCTGAGGGGGCAGGGGCAGCGTCCAGGTCACCGCTCGGTGGGCGGGACCGAGCGCCTGAACTGATGCTGGTTCTGAAGCCCCCACCCGGGGGGCGGCACTGGACCCAGCTGACCAGGCCAGGGCCAGAGGGCCAGGCCCACGCGGGCTGGGGCTCCCTGCCCGGCCACTCCGTCCCGGCCCATGCCGGCCCTGGTCCTCTGCAGGCTGAACCGAGAGCAGAAGGAGGTGTGTGAAATGGGCTTCTCGGACAAGGTGGAGTCCTACAACATCGACCAGGCCTGCTCGCGCTACCACAACGACTGCACGGAAGTGCGGTTCCACCTGCACTCCACCAAGTTCGAGGAGAGGTGAGGCCCTGGGCGTGGGACGGCAGCCCCGGGCCGGGCAGGGCTGCCCTGGACGAGCCGGGGCGCTGCAGGGTCCTCTGCCTGGCCCACGTGACCCCCGCCCCGTCCCGCAGCGCCTCCACACCCGAGTCCTGGGTCAAGTTCAGCCAGGACATGCTGTTCCGCGCCGAGCATGAGCGCCTGGGGTCGGTCCACTTGCGGTCGATCATCGACTCCATCCTGCGGGACACCTCGGAGGACCTGCGGGTGCAGGCGGACGTGGTCAACCAGGCCTTCGAGCGCCGCTGCGAGGAGCTGGAGGACACACAGAACAAGCTGAAGTTCCACCTGCAGAAGGTGAGGGGGGCGGTGGGGGGGGGCGCCGGACACGCCCACCCAGAGACACGCACAGGGACACGCCCACCAGGAGACACGCCCACCGCGCAGGGACACGCCCACCAGGAGACACGCCCATCACACAGGGACACGCCCACCAGGAGACACGCCCACCAGGAAACACGCCCACCAGGAGACATGCCCACCACACAGGGACACGCCCACCCAGAGACACGCACAGGGACACGCCCACCAGGAGACACGCCCACCATGAGACACGCCCACCACACCGGGACACGCCCACCAGGAGACATGCCCACCGCGCAGGGACACGCCCACCATACAGGTACACGCCCACCAGGAGACACGCCCACCACACAGGGACACGCCCACCAGGAGACATGCCCACCGCGCAGGGACACGCCCATCAGGAGACACACCCACCGCACAGGGACATGCCCACCAGGAGACACGCCTGCCCCTGAGACACGCCCACTGTGCTAGGGACACGCCCACCCAAGAGACACGCCCACCATGCGGGGACACGCCTACCTGGAGACACACCCACTGCACTGGGGACACGCCCACCACGCTGGGGACACGCCCATCCACGGAGACACGCCCACCACGCTGGGACCACGCCCACCATGCGAGGGACAACGCCCATCCAAGACATGCGCACCCCCCATGGGACACACCTTCCAGAGTTCAGGACCCACCCCAAAGCTCTGGACACGCCCACCAGGGACAGATTGAGGGCACGCCCACCCCACCTTGCCCCTCCCTTAGCACTCTCCACTCAAGGCACGCCCACCCCACGCAGTACACACCGTCCTCTCTGGCACACCCACTTGCCCCTAGGTGGGCCTAGCTCAGGGCTCTGACCTAGGGTTCCCAGTGGAACCTCTGCTGCCCCTGACCCCGGCTTCCTGGCTGGGGCTGGGGCCCCTCAGGCCAGAGCTGCAGCACAGCTTGCTTCCTTCCCAGCCTGACCTGAGTCGGCCGGTGCCCGTGGACAGCGTGGCCCCTGAGCGCAGTCAGGACAGGAGGAGCTGGGGCGACCCCCCCGTCCTCCCCACTGGCCTGCCGACCCCCCCGCCCTCCCCACTGGCCTGCCCCAGCCCCGTGTGGCTCACACTAACGCCCTGATACAGCTGCTTCGGGAGATCACCGACCAGGAGCGCCAGATTTTGAACCTGAAGCAGGCCATCAAGGACAAGGAGGCGCCGCTGCGCGTGGCCCAGACCCGTCTGTACCAGCGCGCCCGCAGGCCCAACGTGGAGCTGTGCCGCGACACAGCCCAGTTCAGGTGCGCGGCCCATCGGCAGCCTCGCCGCCCGAGGCTGGGGCGCCCTGAGTCCCCGGGGCGCCCCTGGGTGCAGGCCTGATGCTGGAGGCAGCTTGTCTGGCCTTTCTGGAGGGGGCCTTGGGTCGGCCCGGCTGGCTCCCGGGGTCCCAGGGCGGAGGGGACGGCAGGGGCGTCCACCCGCCCTGCGTACCAGGTCCTGTCTTCTGTTTCTCTAACTTGAGTGTGCTGGTGCACTACTGAGCGTGTCTTCTTCCTCTTCCTCTCTGCCCCTCCGTGTCTCCCTCCTTCCCTGCCCCTCCATTTGTTCAAGACACTGAGGGCCCGAGGGCTGGCCAGCGCGGCTCCCTCAGAGGCGAGGCTGCCGGCAGTCAGCCTGCGCTGCTGGTCCCGGCCACTGGGTGCTGCTGCAGTGCAGTTCCCGGGCTGTGGGGGGCGGGGCGGGGCCAGAGCTTGGCGGCCCCCCCCCCCCGCGTGCCCGGTCCCGTGCCCGGGACTCTGCACATCTCTTCTGGTGCGCCTCTTGGGATGACACTTTGTAGTGTCATGAAACGTCCCAGCCTTGAACTCCTGCCCCCCCCCCCGTCTCCCACTCAGCTTGAAAGGCCAGGCTAACTAGGACCCTGCCCCCTGCCCCCTGCCCCCTGCCACGGCTCTGCTCCTGCAGGCTGGTGAGTGAGGTGGGGGAGCTGAACATGTCCCTCACGCTGCTGAGGGAGAAGCTGCAGGATGCGGAGCAGGCACTGTGCAACCTGGAGGACTCCCGCATGGCCCTGGAGAAGGACCTGGCTGTCAAGGCCAACAGCCTCTTCATCGACCGCCAGAAGTGCATGGCCCACCGCCACCGCTACCCCACCGTCCTCCAGCTGGCTGGCTACCAGTAACCGCAATAAAGAGCGCCTTAGCTTTCTGCGCGTGTGGGGCCCGGTGGAGTCTCCTGGGCCGTCCACGCGGGCAGGCTCTGTCTGTGGGCCCCAGCCTCCCCCCTCAGCCGGCCCCACGCGGCCCTGAGTGTGGCCAGCTGCCCCTGCACTCCCAAGCCCCAGCCTCACCTCCCGAGCCTCGAGGCTGGCTGACCACGCTCAGGCCCAGTCCCACCCAGAGTCCCACCTTGTGTCCACCCACTGCCTAGCCAGGTGTGGAGAGAAAGACTGAGGTCCAGGCCAGCCCCAGGCAAACCAGGAAGCACTACTGGTGGAGCTAAAAAGGTCTGGAGACATGGCTCGAGGAGTAGAGCACCTGGTTAGCACACACAGGGCCCTGAGTTCCGACCCCAGGAGACGGGGGGGGGGCGTTAGGCGGGGCGGGGGCCCACCGGGCTGGCCTGCCCTCTGCAGCCCCCGCTCAGCTCCATGCACACGGAGGCCGTGGCTGCACGGGCCACAGGGGCTGCTCTTCCAGAAACCTTGGGTGCCGGGGGGGGGGGTCAGAGCCTGCAAGGCCTCACTGCCCGGAGGAGGGGTGAGAGAGAGAGAGACAGAGAGACAGAGACAGAGAGAGACAGAGAGACAGAGAACACTGCCCCGGCACGGCCGCCACCCCATGCTGCTCTACCCCAGTGGTCAGCGCTTTCCTGGAGGGGGAGCCCAGCACCCACTGCAGGAGCCTCCCTCCTCCCCCCTCCTCCCCCTTC